TGTTTGAGGAATGGAAGTTGAAGCCGTTAATGTGACTGTAGAGTCGGTTTTTAGCTTTTAGACTGTAGGGTTGATTTTAGCTTTAGGGTTCAGCTTTGTTTTTCGGGCTTCGGGGTACGGTCTCTTGGATTAGCGTGCGCAACCCTGGGCAGATGGGCTGAGATGTTTCGTGCAGATTCAGGGACCTCGGGGTAGGCTGACAGGTTGAGCAGGGGGCATCTGCGGGCAGGATCCAGACCGCACAAGGTTAGCATCAGCAGGTGCTGCTTCCTTCAAGTTTATGTTGTGCTGGGCTTCCGAGGGCTGAGTCAGAGCACCTTCTTTCAGGCATACTTTACATGTGAGGGCCTTCTTCATCTGCCAGGCTGCCACCAGCACCGACACAACCATCACTGCCACATTCTACATGCCACCAACCAGGACTGGCGAGCTCTCAGATCTCGATCCGTCCTTTTTGCTCTGCCCCATGCCTGATGTGTCGGCAAGCGAGCTTCTCGAGGACGGCCACTGTCACCACAGTCTGCAGCCCCAGATTCCTTTTTGGCACGCAGATAGCGTTCATCCTGCAGCTCGAGGCATCTGTGTACTCTGGAGCAGTTCTGTCAAGCTTCAGGCGACCACTCAACTCTGGACGTCCCTTACCTGGACCTCCATCACCTGGACGGCTGCACCCACAAGGACCCGAAAGTGCCAAAGACAAGATGCAAATGCTTGGCAGGGCCCTAGACCCGGGTTGAGGGTTTAGGGTTTAGGTTTAGGCCCGAAGCTCTAGGAAAGCCACACCCTTGGGTGTAAAGAAGACACATGGTATACGGTACACGATTGGGCTGCCGGAGCACACCCCCAATTCACCTTCGTTAAGGAATGTCATGAAGTAGGGTGTTAGCGTTTGGGGTGTAAGGGGAATTGACCTTAAACCAGCCATGCTTAAAATGATTAAGGCGCATGGTTTCAATTCCAGGTTTTGGGCTTCTTGTGGGGGTTTTCAGGGTTTAGGGTTCGGGCAGTTGAGGCGGGGGCTCTCACACCTCTGGCTGCTCGAGGACAGCCACCACTTTCACGGCCACCACCGTCACCACACTTAGTACCAACACAGCCCCGGGGCTCAGTACCATGAGCTCGGTCGGTCGAGGGGTCAGGGCTTAGGTAGATTTCGTCACCTAAAGGCCTGAATCGTACACATTGAGAGAACACTCAGCATCTTAGACATCACTGCAGCAGCACGTGCAACTTAGTAGCCATTCTAGTGCCTTGTTGTTCCCTTATCAGCCCCTATCTACCCAACTTAACCTAAACTCGGGGTTTAGATGCTTGGACCGGAATGTTGGAACTGACCCCTTTTGCAGAATCTTTTTCCCGGAGCCTAAGCAACCCTAAACCCTAAACCCCAAACCCTAAACCTTATGCCCTCACCTGAGCCTTGGACCACCAAAGCCCGAAGCCCAACAAACTCGAGCAGAAGACTCCTTTTGGGGTTTGGGGTTTAGGGTTCAGGGTTCAGGATTTAGTCGGTATTTGCCAGAATTGGGCTTTATTGAGGAACCCTAAAGGGGCACAACCCTATGTTCGGAAAACCCCACATGGCCCAAACTGGGGGCTCTCTTGCCACGCAACCGTCATGTTGGGCCTCTCCCACCCCTGCTTTCACGCTGTTTTGTGTGGCTTAGGGGTTTAGGTTTTTGGTTAAGCCTGGAGTTTAGGGTTCAGGGTTTAGGGTTTAGGGTTTAGGGTTTAGGGGTTTAGGGGTTTAGGGGTTTAGGGGTTTAGGGGTTTAGGGGTTTAGGGGTTTTCACAAGGCCACTGCGCCAGGGCTTCGACGTTCGCGGCTTCTAGGTCGTTGCTTTCCTGCTGATGGGGATTTGGTTGTTGCTTCTCGGTTTTGCGGTGGGCTTGGTCTTTTCCCTAAAGTTCTGGAATGAGATACGTCTGAACTTCAGATTGCCCTGGCGGTCCGCCCTGTCCAGACCCTCCGAAAGAATTGCAGAAAGAAAGAAAGAAAGAACGAAAGAAAGAAGGACAGCAAGACAGAAAAAAACAGAAAGACAGAAAGACCGAAAGACAGAAAGACAGAAAGAACGATGTTCAAGTTTTGAGGGTTCCCGCAACACCAACGCGCGCACCAAGACGCCTCTGGAACTCTCATTCCTCCCTAAGCGAGCCCGAAGCCTGAACTCTACAGACCCTACTGTAGGGCCCCTACACCTGAAACCCTAAACGCCAAACCCCAAAACCCTAACAATCCCAAGCCGTAAACCCTAAGCCCTAAGCCCTAAAACCTACACCCCGATAATCCCTCCGTTCGATAAGACCTGAATCCGCCGAGGGCACCACCCGAACGTGGACATCGGCCACGGCGACGTTGTACGTCCCACCGACCAGGAGCCTCTCGTTCTTGCCCCGCTTCCACATGGTCAAAGGGTGGAATCGGGTGTAGGGTTTAGGGTTTAGGGGTGTTTTTTTTAAGGAAGGTGGCAGGTAAGTCCGGGAACCCCCAAAAGGGAACCCCGGCACTGTAGTAGCTCTCTCGTGCAAAGAAGGGAAGTTTCGACGTCCAAGAGCTCTTTGAACCTGGTCTCAAAAACCCACACAGACTATATTCCCCTTGGGAATTATTTTTATTTTTGTTTATATGAAACCCAAAAGGATATTAGAAAGGGGAGTATAGCAGAGGACCGAGGAAGACTTCCCGGCCCATGTCCTCCAAGGAAGGCCAACAAGCGAGGTGACAGTCCATTTCTTTTTACTTCAATGATTCCGATGGGTCCTCATGCCGCAGCCCCCTAAACCCCTAATAACCCTAATAACCCTAATAACCCTCATAACCCTAATAACCCTAATACCCCTAATAACCCTATAAACCCTATAAACCCTAATAACCCTAGTAACCCTATAAACCCTAATAACCCTAATAACCCTCATAACCCTAGTAACCCTAATAACCCTAATAACCCGAAAAACCCCAATAACCCTAGTAACCCTAATAACCCTAATAACCCTATAAACCCTAAACCCTAAAACCCTTACACGCGGGGGCCCGGGGATGGCCGCGGGCAAGCAGGACATTTACATCCACGACGCTGACGTCAACTACCGCCCTCTCCCTGGCCCCGGCTGTTTGCAGAAGGGTTCTTGGGGGGGTGGAGGGAGGGGGTGGAGTTTTGCTTGGGAGTTTGGAGTTTTTTGGGCGGTATTTGGGGCTTTTGGGTTTTGGATTTTTTTGGAGGTTTTTTTTTGAGTTTTTTGAGGTGTTTTGGGGTTTTGGAGTTTTGGTGTTTTGGCGTCGGGGTTTCGGGGTTTTGGGTTCAAGGTGTAGGGGGGTCATCCGTGGGGGTTATGATAGGAGAGTTATAGGACAACCCGTCACACCTCTCAGCTATCGCTCAAGCAGGGCCAGTTCAGGTCTCGACGTGTGCGGCTCTTTGATGGGCTTAGTTCTTGGCGGGAATCTAGGGCCTGACGAGCCAGAGTCAGAAGACGAAGGTTTAAATCAAGGCTTGGGATGGGGTGTCTGACCCGGAAGACCGAAAAGCCTCAATGTCAGTCCGAGGCCTTGTTCTAACCCTGTGCCTCGCTGAGACTCTGGACACCCCGAAATGCCAAACCCTAAGCCACCAAAAGCCAGATTTTCAGGAATTCGGGCTTAGTATTCAAGCTTCCATCAACCCTTAGAACACCTAGAGCCCTAAACCCCCCTCAGATGCACCCAGAATCCTCAGGTGACAGCTGCCGCAGCGCTGCCCTTCTGGTTTCCCTGGCAGCAGACAGGCCCTGCTCTCTTCTGGAGTTCGGAGGGTTTAGGGTCTAGGGTCTAGGGTTTAGGGTCTGGGATCTAGGGCTAAGGGTTTGGGGTTTAGGGTTTCGGCGCTTAATGGGAAGGAGTCGAGAGCCCACGAATCACGGTTTCGAATGGCTGCATAGATTGCGTGGGGGGCTGGCGGGTTCGAGTCCAGATGGTTCTGGATGGTTTTGGTGGAGGTTTCTGAGACCGGTTCAGTGAGGCCTTGTGTTTTTTTGAGCGGTCGGCGCAATGAAGCCCTCGGGCCCTCAACCCTAAGCCCCCAAAAAGGCTAAGCCCCGAAACCCTAAACCCCCTAAACCCCCTAAACCCCCTAAACCCCCTGAACCCCCTAAAACCCCCTAAACCCCCTAAACCCCCTAAACCCCCTAAACCCCCTAAACCCCCTAAACCCCCTAAACCCCCTAAACCCCCTAAACCCCTAACCCCCTAAACCCCCTAAACCCCCTAAACCCCCTAAACCCCCTAAACCCCCTAAACCCCCTAAACCCCCCCCCTAAACCCCCTAAACCCCCTAAACCCCCTAAACCCCCTAAACCCCCTAAACCCCCTAAACCCCCTAAACCCCTAAACCCTAAACCCTAAACCCTAAACCCTAAACCCTACCAAGAGAAGCACAGGGGCTGCTGGCAGCCTTCCGGCTCCAAGGGGGCCCGCGCACCAGGCCGGGGCAAGGTTGGGTTTGGTAGAGTTTGGGGTTTAGGGTTTAGGGTTTAGGGTTTAGGGTCAGGGTTCAGGTAGTCTCGCTGGTTCAGGGGTTCGGGCCTAGGGTTTTAAGGCCTTACCGGCTTGAGTTGTGGCATGTTTGAAGTAGCTCCTGGGGTTGAGAGCCCTGCAGAAAGTGCGAGAGCCCAAGTTCACAATTTCCGATTGTTGAGCGCAGTTTCACGAAGGCATGTGTGTGTTTAGTGGTTCTTGCCGTTGCTGGCGCTGCTGCTTGATCCATGGTTCCTAGGTGCTTGAACAAGACCTATTGGGTGTTGTCTACACGTCATGGCCTTCCCAAACTTAGGACTGATTCTCTGATAGCCCTCATACCGGGAAGCAACATCGTGCAACCAGGGTCTTTGCCATTGCTCGCCATGCTTCTCGCTGCCATGTTCTTAGCTCAGGTGTGTAGCACGTTATCTTCCCTGCGCTACCTCATGGGACTCTTTTCGTTTCCTGCCGTGGCCGCTTGGTCGGCATGCTGAAGTTCATCAACATGGCAGGTGATGTGGTGGTGGAGCTTCATCCAGACACGTTCTCCGGTTCAAGCTCTTTAGTTGGGGAGGTGACGGAGCGCTTGTCCAAGATTCTCAACTTTTCTAGCTTTGGCATCAAGTTGGTGAGCTCAGGGACTATCCTCGCGGACCAGCAGTCCTGGCAGGAGCTCGGGAAGCCACAAGAAATCCAGCTAGTGACCCTACCCTTGGTGACTCATTGCGAACGTGATTTGTTGGCTGCCGTCCGTAGGGAAGACATCTGCAAGGTTGAGAAGATTCTGCAAAAGCCCCATGATGCCGCCTGCACCTATCCGGATGGCACACCCATGTTAGTTGAAGCCAGCCGCAAAGGAAACCACGAGATCGTGAAGCTACTACATCGAGCACTTGCAGACATAAACTCGACTGGTCGGAACGGTCGTACCGCCCTGTACGAGGCAATTGCTGCCTATGACCTTGCCCGCGGACACTTCGAAGTTGTGCACTTCTTGGTGGATGCCGGCGCCAACACTGACCAGCCGGACTGGCTCGGGAACACTCCCATGCATGCAGCCGTCAGTGGTGGCAGTGGATACAACACTGAGGTGCTTCGCCTCCTGCTCAAGGCCTCCGCTGACATGGACCGGCCCAACAGCCAAGGGGTCACCCCCTTGCGAGCAGCGGCCCGCTGGGGCCACGTCGAAGACGTGGCTGCCCTCCTCGAGGCCCAGGCGGACCCCAACAAGGCCTGTCCTTCACGGTCTCATGTATGATTAAGCAATGTAGGGGCGTGGGACGGTTCTTACAATTTTTATTTCAACGGATCCCACGACACACTCTTATGACTCAATAAGTTCTAGATGTCTAGAAATTACGTCGTAGCGAGGCCGACGCGGCCCAGGGAACGCCCCTTCTGGCCGCTGTCCTACGTGGCAGCGCCCGTATGGTCCGCCTGCTAGTGGAGAAGCGCGCGCAGGCGCGGAGATCTTTAAAGGCTCACTAGAAGGGTTTAGGAGGTTTCGGGGCTCGAGGTGCAAGAGCATCATGAAGAAGGGGAAGAAAGTAATTGCCACACAGAGAGTTGACCTTGATGAGGTGGATCAGGGCCAGCAGCATGAAGCCCCGCTGCTGGCTGCCATCCACTCGCAGCACGTGGACATAGCACGCTGCCTTGTCGAGGTACAGGCAGATGTGCGAAAGACGAGTTTCGATGGCATGACGCCCCTACATGCAGCAGCTGCCCAGGGACATCTGCCGATGGTGCGGTTCTTGGTTGAGGCAAACGCCGGACCTGACGTGAATAAGGCAGACTCCACTGGTGACACCCCACTTCTGTCTGCGATCTGGCTTGGATTCTCCGAGGTTGTCCGATTTCTGATTGAGTGCAGAGCGGATACAGACCTTGCAGACAAGTCCAACAACACTCCCCTTCATGCAGCAGCAACCCAGGGCGATGTAGGCATTGTTGGATGCTTGATTGAGTCACGCGCAGACCCAGATCGCTGCAACGATGATGGTGAGACGGCCCTGTTCACGGCAGTTTGGTCAGACCATGAGGAGCCTGTCCGTCAGCTCCTGACCGCAGGTGCTGACATGCACATGTTGGACGGAAAGGGCAGTAGCGTGGCCCACATCGCTGCGCGCCTGGGCCGAGCTCCCCTCGTGAAGGCTCTCCTGGATGCTGGGGCCGACATGAAGCGACTGGACAGCCACGCGCTCAGTTTGCTGGAGGAATTTGCTGAAGAGTCTGCCGAGTTTCCTGTTGAGCCACCACCTCCATGCTCCTGAGACCCGAAACCCCTAAACCCCCGAGCCCTAAACCCTACACCCCGGTGTGTTCAGCTAAGGCCAGGGTGGCACTCCTTTGCATGAGGCTGAAGCTCGTTCCCACCAGGAGGTCGTCGATCTTCTTTGGGGGCACCAGTGCGATGCGGTAGCGAGACCGTGAAATGGGGGTTGATCTAAGTTCTGGGCCCCTTTTTTTGGCCCTGTACGCTTGGCTGTAATGACTTTGAAGATACCAGCATAGAGGTCCAAACCCTGAACCCGAAGCCCTAAGCCCTAAGCTCTAAGCCCTAAGCCCTAAGCCCTAAGCCCCAAGCCCTAAGCCCTAAACCCTAAACCCTAAACCTTAACAACAAAAACTCAATGTAGTGGAGCCAGAATTTGGATCAATCCCCAGATCAGTGTCCCCATACGCCAGCCTTCTGCTGAGCGCAGCTCCGGCCCCTAAAAGGAGCACAGGCTGCCCCGTTTAAAAGGTTGGGTTTAGGGTTTAGGGTTTCGGGTTTAGGGTTTAGGGTGTGTGGTGGTAGTTAATGCAGCTTGCAAGCTCGCGACGCTGATAAGGTGTACTTCAAGACATCTGGAGGAGTAGAGCCAGTGTAGGGGGTGCAGAGATCTTCGACTGCTACCATGCGTCGTCCCAACACACTCTTGGCTGCTGCCTCCACTTAGCATCCAAACATTAGAACCATCGTAGCCTTCACAGACGACTCGGGGATCCACACGACAGCAAAACTAGCGTGACCCCCCTATTGCCAATACCAACATCGTTACCCTTCGTCCTTTCCAAAGCAGAGGCGCGTCTCTGAAGCAGCCTCCTCTGCACCCGGAACGAGGGGATCAAGGGATGCGCAGATTAGGGTTCTTGCGAAGAAGCGTGCAGATTGCGGGAGGGCTCGTATCGGAAGCTTTTAGGGGAGTATCAAGCTATAGGGGCCTCGCACTGTTCGGCATCCCCTCATTCCTGGCGATTCATTTCCCTAGAAGCCCCACTGAACAGTCGTGTGCTCACTGTTGTATTCCCATGCCTTCATTTGTCCCAGACGAGCACAGACTACTGACCGAGTTGCCGGGCACCGCCGGGCCTCGTCAAGTGTACCACCTGTACGCTCCGGCGCGTGCCCAGCCCGCCCACCCTGTGTCAAAAAGGGCGTCCGGGCAGCCAAAGGCCGGAAATCACGCCTGAAGGACACAGGCCCTGAGCCCTAGAGCCCTAACCGCGATAGCACCCGGCCAAGATTGTCGAAAGGTCCCAGGCCCTCCCGAACAGCCAAGCAAGCTTATGCCTCGACAGAACCCTGAACTGTTCAAACACTCCCCTGTTGGAGCAGCCTAAACCCTAAATCCTAAACCCTAAACCCCACGGCCTAAACCCTGATTGGTTCAAGTATGACACTAAACCCTAAACCCTAAACCCTAAACCCCAAACCCTAAACCCTAAACCCTAAACCCTAAACCCCAAACCCCAAACCCCAAACCCCAAACCCCAAACCCCAATCCCCAAACCCCAAACCCCAAACCCTAAACCCTAAACCCTAAACCCTAAACCCTAAACCCTAAACCCTAAACCCTAAACCCCAACCCCGAAACCCTAAACCCGAAACCCTAAACTCTAAACCCTAAAGTCTAAACCCTAAACCCTAAATCCTAAACCCTAAACCCTAAACCCTAACCCTAAACCCTAAACCCTAAACCCTAAACCCTAAACCCTAAACCCTAAACCCTAAACCCTAAACCCTAAACCCTAAACCCTAAACCCTAAACCCTAAACCCTAAACCCTAAACCCTAAACCCTAAACCCTAAACCCTAAACCCTAAACCCTAAACCCGAAACCTAAACCCTAAACCCTAAACCCTAAACCCTAAGAAACCCTAAACCCGAAACCCTAAACCCCCTAAACCCTAAGCCTAACCTAAACCCTAAACCCCCTAAACCTAAACCCTAAAACCCCTAAACCCTAACCCCTAAACCCCAACCCCCAAACCCTAACCCTAAACCCTAAACCCTAAAGTCCCCTAAACCCTAAACCCTAAACCCTAAACCCTAAACCCTAAAACCTAAACCCTAAACCCTAAACCCTAAACCCTAAACCCTAAACCCTAAACCCCAAACCCCAAACCCCAAACCCCAAACCCCAAACCCCAAACCCTAAACCCTAAACCCTGAAGTGGGCCACCCTGAGCCCAAGCGCTGTCGCACTTCCTCCTTCCATGCGGTCAGGCTGGTCTCGTCCTCGAGATCAATGGCTTAGACTACCGGCAGCTCACGTGCACCCGCCCAGCCAGTTTGGGGGGCTTGCAAGGTTTTCAAGGTAGGTTTGGGATGGTTGCTACTTGTATGGTTTTGATGGTAGGTTTGGGATAGTTACTACGTAGATCGGGAGGTACGGTCAAGGCTTTAGGGCAAACTTTGCTTGCAGGGTAGGTTTAGGGATCCGGGAAAAGTGTCGCTTCAGGAAGTCATCCCCGGAGGAGCAGCACGAGGTCGTGGAAGGTGCCCTGCTCTGAATTTGCAAGTACCAAACCCAAGATCCCAAAGCCCGAACTCCACCCTGAACTCGCCTTGACGGCTCTAATTTACTGCCCCTCCCTAAACATGAGGCCCAAAAGACGCATCCCTCAATAAAGCCTTGGTTGGGGCGTCATCTTGCGGCAGCGAGGGTCCCTTAATGAAGCCTTGATTGGGGGTCTTTCTTTGGGGGAGGGGGGGGGGGGTAGTAGAGGAGCTTAGGGCGCCCAGAACCCTTTGAGCTCGCGAAGCCCATTCTCAATCCAAGCTTCCAACTTGAGGTTTCCTTGGGGTTTTTGGCTTCTGATTTGGGGTTTAGGGCTTCGGGAGTTTAGGATAGTGTAGGGAGTTTTGGGGGGTTTAGAGTGTATAGAGCTTTAGGGAGTTTAGGGTTCAGAGCGGCCCCCCGGATGCTACTGCAAAGGCCTGCGATCCGCGATTGCCTGGCGTGCTGGCCTTGAAAGAGGCTGGACTCGCAAGGCTTAGGTTTCGGTCCCTTCCTACAAGCACCACAATGCAACACCAACGCTACATAAGTAATATTATATATATATATATATATGTGTATCTTGCACATATTGCACATCTTGTATCCATATTGTGCAGATTATGCATATTCTACAGATTGTACATGTTATACATATTGTACATTTTATACATATTGTACACATTGTACATATTATACGCATTATACATTTATTTACATACTATACATATTTTACATACTATACACATTGCACACATTACACATATCATGAATATCATACACATCATGCATATTGTACATGTTTGTGATACATATTTCTACATATGCATTTACGTACAAGCTGATATCCGTAATATACATACATCTATACATCTATACAGATGTATGCATATGTACACACTATCTTGATATGTATGTCAACAAAGAAAAGGTTGAGGTGGTCATGCAATGCCCGTGGCCGGGCGCCTGGTTCTTGCCTAGGCGCAGTGCCCGTTTTGGGGCATAAATCGCACACACTCACATGTAGGGACGCCTGCGCGCGGCGTGACGATGTTTCTGCGCGAAAAACCAAACCAAGATTTGACGTCCCACAGAAGCGCACTTTCCTGCCTGTCGGGCCCTTGGAGGGGTTTGCTGTGTGAATCTTGCGGGGATCTGCATGTCGCAGTGTTCCGAATGGTGCTTCCGCCCCGGTCCTGTGCACATTCTCGGCCCTTTGGAGTGCTGTTGGAGTCTTTGGCTCCTAGGGGTGAGGCCAGGTGATGGGTTTTGTTGAGTTTCAAGGCCTACTGGCTAGAAGAATGCCTCTTGGTGAATTGAGGCTTCGAAGTTCAGGGTCTAGTAGAGAGTGTGTTGGTACTAGGCTACAGGGGTTGGAGGTTTATAGCTTGGGGTGTATGAGGATGCCTGTTTAAGAGACTTCTCCGCTCCGAACCTTGCACCCTAATTATTAAATTTGACATCGAAACCTCACGGAAGCCTAAGAAGCTTTGGGGGGAACTTCGAGCCCTAGCAGCCAGGTCGCAAGGTGGAGGTCCTGGACTCAGCTAGCTTGCTTGCCTCGGCTTCATTTAACATCTCAGCGTCTTTGTCCAGATGAGGCTTAGGATTTCTGCGCTGCTTCACCCACGGCATACATCACGTTCTTCTCAGTTCCAACGTGGATCGAGGTCCGGGATCTGGACCTCTCACCCCTTCCCGGGCCCTTCCGGCTGCATATCGGTGGGACATTGAGGTTTAGGCTCCCCTAGCCTAAACCCAAAAGGTCTAAACCCCGAACCCGTAGCCCCGTAAACCCTAAACCCAACCCCCTCGGCCCCCCGCTCGGCCCTCGCCTGGACCGGCGGCCCTAAACACCTAAACCCTAAACCCTAAACCCTGAACCCTGAACCCTGAACCCTAAACCCTAAACCCTAAAACCTAAACCCTAAGCGGTCTGCAGGTCTTGCTTCCTGTAGGGTTGAGCTTGAAGTGGAGGGAGCGTGCAGAAGAGGAAATCGAGCAAGTAAGCCCCCCGTGTATTTGACATCGAAGTTCATCCTTGGGGTGCTTCGCGTGGCTCGTCCCGTGTGTTAGATGATTTGCCCCACTCCTTTCTGTGTTGGGATGTTGCCGCAACTCCTTATCCCCCCCCCCCAATACCCCCCCCCTCATACGCCCCTTATACCCCCCTTGCTTCAAGTGTGCTTCGCAGAATTCCCCTCTTGAAGTTCCGCCCTAAACCCTAAACCCTAAACCCTAAACCCTAAACCCTAAACTAAACCCTAAACCCTAAACCCTAAACCCTAAACCCTAAACCCTAAACCCTAAACCCTAAACCCTAAACCCTAAACCCTAAACCCTAAACCCTAAACCCAAAACCCAAAACCCAAAACCCTAAACCCTCTTGAAGTTCCGCCTTCTCAGGGCCGTCATGGTCCACTCGACGCTGGCCTCGCAGAAGCTCGGCAGCTTCGGTGAGTCGCGGCTTGGGGCTTTAGGGTTTAGGGTTTAGGGTTTCACGGCTTG